CGCAGTGGTGCCAATAACTTGCAACAGATAAGTGGGCCAGCGGCCCATTCGCCGGCGACGCTTTACAATTCGCCACAGCACAGCGCTCAACACACATCCCTAGCGACGGCAACAGCTCACGGACATCATCCCCTTTCGCACAATCATCACAATCAGCAACATAGCCCAGCGGTACAGTCCGATGCTTTTAGTGTAGGCGTTGGTGGTCTTGGCGTTCTTGGCCCTAAAGGACCTTCTGCTACGTCTGGAAATACAACTGCCTCCTTGCGACAACACATGTACATGACAGCAGCCGCTGCGGCTGCTGCCGACCAGAGCATTAGCAGTTTTAGTTCAAATCCTTCAACCCCGGTAAACTCCCCACCGCCACTGACACAAAGTGGTTTATCGCAATCCCTAATTGATAAATCAGTTGTTGGTAGTTCTGGAGGTGGAACTCCATGGGGAGCCGTTTTAAATGGTGGTGGTGGTGGTGGTGTGAATTCAGTTAGTGGCGGAGGCATGGGAGTTGGTGTAGGCGGCAGCTACGCCAGTGACGTTGGTCCATCCGGTTTGCACACAATGGCCGCTGTCTTCCAAGGTGCGCGCATGGAAGAACGTCTTGATGACGCGCTTAACGTGTTACGTAATCACTGCGAGCCTGAGCTGCTGGGCGGCGTAGGCGCTGCACTTTCGGCAATGGACCACATGGATGGGCTGTCTAGTTTTGTGCCAACATCTCCGCCATCGCACATGGTCGGCGGTGTGGGCAGCACAAGTGGTGTATCAGCTCTACATTCACCACATGACGTTCTGTCAGGCGCCGGTCCGTCGGTGGATACAGTAGGCGCAGCTAGCGGTAGTGGAATGAATGCCACGCCATCAGCGGTCACACAAATAAAGATGGAACGAACATCTACGGCCACATCCAGCGGCTCTGGAACCACGACGAAGTCATCAAAGAAACGAAAAGAAGCAGCAGCCGCCGCTGCTGCCACAACCGCAATGTCTGCCGCATCGGCTAACTCTGGCGCAGGAGCTTCAACGTCGTCAATGAGTGGTGCTATGGGAGGCGTAGTTGACGGACCTGATACGAAACCAACCAGCTCAATGGAGGCTACTCAACACAACCATCCTGGGGCGTCAGGCAAAGGCTCAAAACGACCGCGTCGATATTGCTCGTCAGCAGACGACGATGACGATGTAGAGCCAGCCGTTAAGGCGATGCGAGAAAAAGAACGACGTCAAGCGAATAATGCGCGGGAACGTATACGCATACGTGACATTAACGAAGCGTTAAAAGAGCTTGGACGGATGTGTATGACACACCTGAAGTCGGATAAACCGCAAACAAAGCTGGGCATCTTAAATATGGCCGTGGAGGTGATAATGACACTGGAACAGCAGGTACGTGAGCGTAATCTAAATCCGAAAGCGGCTTGTCTGAAACGTCGTGAAGAAGAAAAAGCAGAAGATGGGCCAAAACTTGCGGCGCAGCATCATATGTTGCCACAGCCACCAGGCGGTGGTGTTTACGGCCAACCGCCATTGCCACAGGTGTCAATACCACCTGGCGCCGGTCTGCCAGTACCACCGCCACAAGGAAGTGGAGTGCAATTGCCACCACATCTACAACAGCACAATCAGCCGCAACATCCACAACAATAGCAGGCGGCAGCAGCATTAGCAGCGGCTACAGCACTCATGACTGATCCTCCCACTTCCCAACTACCACCCTTCACCACCCAGCAGCAGCAACAGCACCACCAGCAGCAACAGGAGGCCATCAATAACAGCAACACCAATACAACAAACGCCCTCGAATTGGAGCAACAATTATTGAATAACCTTTTCAGGCGAAGACATCCACCGCCACCACACCTACAACACAGCGGAAGCAACACGCATGCGCAATTGCAAATTCAGCATGCACAGCACCAGCTGTAGGTAGACAGGCAGGCGCAACACCGGCAGGCAGCAGGCAGGCAGTCGCCTTTTTGCAATTTTCCCGGTGAAGAACAATAGCGAGGGCTGGCTGGCTGTCTTTTGTTGGTAGTTGCTCGCATGAGCGGGCGCACACAAGCGCACATCCCTTACACGCGCACACGCAAACACATAGGTACGCACATGGAAGCGTCACAATTGTATATAATTGATAAATGAGTAAGAAAACTAAGTACATACATACATACATATTATGTACATATACATATGTTTGTCGTACCTTTAATTTTCACTGCGATTATTTGCGTGGCATGCACGGCAATCGCATTTTTTACCGTCTTATACATACTTATTTGTTTTTTATATTAGTGCTCATTTCGTTTATTGCTTTATGATTTATTTAACACACATACATACATATGTACAATGCTATACTGTGTTGAATTGTGTAGGTTTTATCAACAAGCTATTTTTTAACAGTTTTTATTTCATTCTCTACTTGTCGTACAACAACAAATCATGTATATACGACAGCCATATTTTTCTATACCTTTATAAATTAAGTAGCGTAAATGATAAGTAGATTTTGTATCGCTTCGTTTGTCGTTTGTTGACCGTATTTGTGCATATATTTTATCGTAAATCCCATCATTGTCATAATTTCCTTTTTTTTTTTTAATATACTTTTAGAATGTTTGTTTTAGATAATAGAAACCAATATTAGATGAGCAAAAAATTATGATGAGACAAAGTTCAATTCCCACAATCCACATCTGCCATTTTATTTTAAAAGCAGTAAAGTTATCAAGAAAACAACAAAAAAATGTTGAAAATCTAATCGCTTGGTGCATATGGTTAACGGGAGGCAATTTTTTATTTTAAAAGAAAACGTTAGTATCAGAAAAATATTTAGATTATGTCACCACCGGCAGGCAAATGCTTACAAAAATGCATTGCATTAATCTCCATTAGGATTTTATGTGAGCTAAGCATTTATATCTGGTAAGCCACTCCAGCAACATTAGCATTTGTTAGTCACCAGAACTCAAGAAGCAGCCAATGATCCAGAGTGAACTCTGCAATGTCGGTATGGTTGGCAACAGCTAACGGATATACGTTTTAAAAATTAGCAAACATGAGTCAAGTTATTAATTGTTGTTTTTGCGCTAATCATAAATAACTAACGGTTGCTCCGGCAACGTAATCTCGAACATCATTAGATCCACTGGCATTACATTTTTTTGTCGAAGTTTTTCAAAGCCTCTTGATGACGGGAGCCTATGAATTGGCAGTACTACTGCTGCATTCGGTCGACATACCGCACCCTACGATTATCTGCCGATAGAGCTGCCAGTACTGCTGATAACGAAATGACAGAAGTACCATTTTAAAGCTCAGGACACAATCACAAAAGACGCCGATCTTTCTCTAGTTTTTCGTATGTGTTATTATATACATATATATATATACGCATATTCGTTCGGCTTTTGTGAACATTAAAGACTTCTATATGAGTAGCGGAAATACGGCATAAGCAAACCCAAAGCAATGAAAAATCTGTAAGGATTCGACGAAAAAAGTGGCACCTAGCCGTAAATCTTAAACCTCAAGTGGAGTTTGTCTGTTTGTTGATGAAACCATTTGTGAAACAAATTTCTTATGAAAAGTTGGAATGTTTTAAAATTGAAGAGTTAAAAAATTTAAATTTTTTGGAACTTCTTCTTTGGTGCCAGTCGTTTCTCTTCTGTGCCAACTGACGGCAATTGGAAATGCCAAGTGAAGCCAAGTCCTTCTCCCCTTTCCCTTTCCATCGCAATAGCGGCCTCCCTCTTCCTCTGCTGCCACCAGCGGGTTCCGAGTTAAATACTTTCAGAGTTGCAGCGTCGGTGTTCATTCGAACGACAGGACCAAGCCAGCGGAGCCGCTGTATTTTAACTCGCTGCACTATGTCCATATCATTGTAAAGCCTCATACAGCTCATCGTTCTATTGTCTTTTCGGAACGAAACAAATTTAGTTATCTATATAGACATTGTGTTCATCCTTACATGCAGACGAGTGCTCAGTCTTTCATACTATAGAAATGTGACCTGCCTGTCTGCCGAGCGATAAGTTGCGTTAAAAAAAAAAAAACAATGTACTAGAACTGTTTTGTAATATAAAAAAAAAAAACGATAATAAAAAATGGCGCGAATGAAGCGAATAAGGCATGGATATGGGCTTAAATAAAAATAAAAACAAATTAAAAAACACACACACAAAATGAAGTAATACATATTTACATAGATTAATAAAACTTAATTATTAGCTGCATATACATATACATACATAGGTACATAAATGCATACATATGTTATAATTACGATAAATAAATATATATAAAATAATACATATATATAAAATGGTTTAAATTTAATGATATAGCCTATAAGCCCGCAAAACAAATGATAACAAAAAAAAAGTTGAATGTTTAACGAAAAGCGATATAAGAACTGCAAGTGTAACTAAGTATTGTATCGAAAAGAAATTGTTGAAAGTATCAAGTGCAGGATAGTAAGACTATGAAGGATTAAAAGCAAACAAAAAAAAAACTAAGAATATTTTAGCAAGCAAGGGGAGTAAAATTTGAAATGCCAAAACGTTAAGTGCTCGTCGCGGTGAAGTGTATGTAGCTACTTTGTTCATGTAACGTTGCAGTAGATCGTCACACCAGCGTTGAAAATCTGAAATACTTGCTGTGGCGTTTTTTGCGTTTGCCGATACTCGTAAAACATACTAAAAGGGTAAGGGCTCAATCAATTACATTGCATAAATATGCTTACACGATTGTGTATTTATATGTATGCAATGTTGACAGATTGTTTTTTCGAAAAACTGCAAATTTCCAAAAAACTGCAAAATTTCCAAAAAACTACCTTTTTTCAACTAAAAACTAGCTACAAAAAAGGGATTTTCGGAAAATTACAGTTTTTAACTGTGTTCTTTTTTTTTTTAAATAGAAAACGCTGCCCCTCCATCGTGCTTTTTATATTAAAAATTTACTTTCGAGAAAGAGATATTTTAATTTATTCGTTGAAGTCGGAAATTTTGAAAAAAATGTAATTTGTACTAGACGGAAATTTAAAAAAACTGTAGCCTTGTCTAAAAACCAGTATCTACAGTAAATACTGTCAATGTTGCAACACTGTATGTATGTAACACCTTCTGTTTAAATTTAAACTCACAGGACTGTTGCATACAACTATAACTTCACCGCAATGATACACTTACGCATTCCACTGAATGGCGTTTGAAAATTGTTTAATTGTATTTTTTTTAAGGCGCTTAGTGTTTGCTCAAATAAAACAAGATTTTTAACAAAAAAATGTTTTATAATGGCAAATAAAGCTAATTAAATGTGATGGTTCAAAAATTTCTCTATTGCATACCACCTTAGACACACACATGTAAGCCACAAGAAAATGCTGTAAAAAATAATTTTCGAACCTCATTCAACTGCAAAATACCTACATAAAAAAATGAAAGTTAAGATTGCAGCTCCAGTAACAAGTTGGCCAAATTTAAAAGTAAAAAAAAAACAAACAGAATTTTAAATCACAAGCAATTGTTAGCGTTCAAACTACTGGCCCTTTATGCTCATTGCCTCTCTTAATTCCGCATAAACCGCAAAAAAATAAGCTGCGCGCAACTGCAAAGCATGCAAAACGCTAGTTTATAGTTTTCTGGTAAATACAAATTATTTTTTTGTTAAATTATTATTTTTAATTCCTTTGTTAAAATTTTTAGTACGCTAATTTTATTGCCAAAATCATTATCCGTTTCTTTGTAAGCGTTTGCCCTCCTGCCTTTATGCGCCAACAGGTGCTATGCCTAGCAAGTGGTGTAGAAAACGAAACACTTATGCCAGTACATCATTCAGTTACAAAAACAAAAATAGTTAAACTCAAAATACATAAGTTTCATTAGTACTAGTTACAATCAATCGCCTTTAAGTTAATATTCTATATAAAACATAGTTAATTTTTGTTATACGTATGTATTTTGATTATGCTTTTTTATATGTATTTTTTTTTTGTATGGTACTTTCTTGTTTAAATAATGGCAAACAAATGTCATGCAAAAGTATTTACTTAATCGATTAAAATAATCTAAGTTTTATAATAAATTTAATTAGTTTCGAAACAGTTTAAAGTGTTAGTGTAGCTACATACATACATAAAAATGTAGTATTTTAAACGAGAAGTGCATCCAGCTGTTTACCTACATAATACGCATAAAGTTTGTATTTAGTATATATACATATGTAAGTATGTATGCATCTATTATAAATTTTATTTTTTATATACTACATACATTGGTGGTCACGTATAACACCGCAATTTTTTTTTTTTGATGAAGCAGGATTTTGTACATTAATATATATTTTTTTTTTAAATATAATTCACACTGGAATAAAAACTCCAAAAATGAAATTTTCAAACTATGTACAACATTTTGAAAAAATAATCAAAATGTATAATTTTTTAATAATTTTTTTTTTTTTAAAGTTGTATGTCGTATAATAATTTACAAGTTTTAAGTAGCCGTGAATTCCCGTTGATTTAAAAAATTGCGCAGTTTTTTTCCATGCTTTTTATATGAGGGAAAATGCGCAACATCGTACGAGAAAAACATTTCAAAAAACGACCATATTTTTGAGCTACTTTGAGCTGCACTCTATGATACTAAAATTAATTATGTAAAAAGTTTGAAATTTTTATGTATTTTTTTTTTTAAATTTTGGACAAAGTTTGAAACTTTGATTTACATAGGTTTTGTTATATATAGTATCAACTATATTTATAAAAAAAAAGTATTTTATATTAGTTTACAAAATTTTACCACATTAAAAAAAAAAGATAGTTATGGTAAGTTATGCGTTACCGCCAACGTACATACATACATACATACGTACGCGTTTACATGTTCATTTATATTTTCGTGGATGTGTTTTTTATTTAAGGGCCACGCGTTAATGCGATATAATAACGCAAGTGAGAGAAATTGTGAAAAAAATATGTTTATGTATAGCAAACGAAATTGGATGATGATCTAAGGAAATTCTATGTATTAATACTATTAAAATGGTAAAATATATCACATGTGTATATTATATGTACTTAATTTTTCAATGTTGTTGTTGGTTTTATTCTTTCTTCTGCTCAAGCAGTTGGTTTTCAACTGCCGAATCTTACGTATTATGCTCTTCCAATCAGCTATTCATTTAATACGCGCTTAACTCTTCACATCTTAGTGCAAGGAAACGCATTTTTTAGTGTTGTAGTAGCAGCAGTCATACTAGGCTCTCAAATCACTCGCCGGCAGCAAAGACAAAGGTACGTTGTTGGCAACATACGAGGCTATTGAACGTCCCCAGCAAGCAGTTCCAGACTGCTATCGTAGTGAGCATCCGAACAGACATTTGCTTGAGGCAGAGCCCGTCCCAGATACGCCAGAAGACGTATCGAATCCACGGCTACAATTTAGATATAACCATTGAACTCGATGATACGACAAGCCCAACAGCAGTCGACCAGCTTCAGTTGCCTCGAAAGGCCAGAGTAAATCTGGCTCAATTGAGGCTTGAACACTGCAGTCGACTGAGCTTGTATGTATCCAGACTAAACCCTGACATACCCTACAAACTTGCGGTTTGTGAAGGCTGTCCCACGACACCAACCATCTCTTCAGTTGCCGACTCAAATCCACTCAAGCTAACACCGCCCTCCGTTTGGTCCGTCACAACCGTTTTATATGTGTCACTGTTCACTCTGACCATCGCGCAGATGTGGAATCGTTACACTTCTTAAGCCAGAAAAATAGGTAAACAAAAGATAATCCTACATGCCCATATCCGTGTTATACCCAATATACCCCAACATCTTACAATAGTAGGAATAGCAGCATGGAAAGCAACACCACAGAAGTCAACTCCATCATTACACATAACTGAGGGTCTGGATCATATTCCACCTTGCGATAGGACGGTTATCGTTGCGCTTGATCTCGAAGGTACTAGATACCGTTAACCATACGACCCCTTGCCAAACCATTCTGTATTCTTCACTTTCATCCCGTACGAAACGGTAGATAACCAGATATCTGTGTGGAGGTAAATCGTTATTTGAATTCAGAAAAGACGAGACTGCTACGTTGAATTAGGGGTGCGCACTAAACCCGACGCTGTGGAAAATACGTAGAATCCATTACCCTTTAAGCCACAGATGGCGAACGCAGGAGAACCGTACAGACAAATTTGCCTTATCTCCCTCTATCTTCTCCCCAGACTGACTTAGCATCCTAAAATAGTCTGAATAGCAGCATGGATAGCAGTGCATGCCATCACTATTCAGATAAGTGAGGGTTTGGACCAACGTTGACCTTATAATAGGACGGATCAAGTAGCGGTTAACCTGTCTAGTCTCTTCAATGTCACATTTTTCACCATATGCACCAAGGAGATTAGGCTAGAACTCGACGTGTAAGTTGAGGCCCAAAAATATCTACTGCGTACCACCTCCCAAGAGCTTGAGAGCACGTTCGATAGCGGTTTGTCCTTCGCTATGGGTTACAAAAATTATCCCATTCGATACTTTTTTTTCCTTCTCAGTTGCAGTCCGCCCCTCAACACGGGAAATGACAGCTGTATGACTGGAGAGCGCACGTAGACTACACGTATGATGATGCAC